CCAAAAGAGGGCCATGCTTTACGCTGCACCCCATGTGGCACCCCAGCAGGGAATCTGGGTCTAGCTGTTGGAGCCCAGAATCACCTCTGATGTTACATAGCAATGGAGTTACAGGAGGGATGCAATATGAAGTGAAAAGGACTGTTGCATCAGATGTTGACTTTCCAAGGCCCAGGTGTGTTAGAGACAGGGAAAGCTCAGAAGTGTTGGTTTCTGTTGTTGGGGTTTTTTTGTTTGGTTGGTTTTTTAGGGTTTTTTTTTTTTGTTTGGTTGGTTTTTTAGGGGTTTTTTTGTTTGGTTGGTTTTTTAGGGTTTTTTTTTTTTGTTTTTTTTTTTTTTTACAGAAACAGCAATAGCTAGAATTGCTTGGTTTTTTTAAGCAGGGGCATAGATCTCTTCAGATCTTTTCAATGAGTCTACACTTCCCTTAGGGTTACACTTAGTGACTTCTCACCATCTCAGTAAAGAGTTGTGATGTCTTTTGGGAGGAAGTGTCTGCACTTTAGAAAACGTTTGACCTCACAGAAACTGATCTCAGTGGTACCTTTCCGAACAAAGTAGAATAACAAGGAAAAAATGACCTTTTTTAAAAATTTACTTAAACCAGTCATCAGATAGTTCATTAACATCATTATTCTGTTATTCTTTTGGGTAGCATGGAAATAGATGGGGTCCTGTGGGATTCCACAGAGAACGAAAACAAGAGTTGAGCCAGCTGATGAACAGTCTTTTCCTTACCATCTTTCATGAGTGTACCTTATTTAGAACCATAACACCTCTTTCGCCATGGGACCATTCTGCCTTTACATGGAGGTGCCCTGTTTCTAACTAAAAATGAATAGAGGTAGCAACACATACTAAATTTTGATCCCAGAGCTCAACTATGCCTTGCTTCACCTGAGAAAACTAGAAAAGGGGGTGATTTTCAAGTTTTGTATTTGGAGAACCTTTGCACCAGGTCATAAGCTAAACCTAAATAACCTGCAACACTAAACAAGCTAAAGTAATTGCAAACCATGGGGTGAGCTGTGAGCACTGCTAACAGATGGACACCTTTGGGAGACATTGGGGGTGTGTGGTCCTGCAGCTCTTTTCAAAGCCAGATCTGTACTGAAATGAGTATGATTCACACTTTTTCAAAGGCACAGCAGTGCTGAAAGCATGGCAATTTCTCAAAAGGATCATATCTCCAGGAACAGTCATTCTTCTCCACTGCCCTCATCAGTGTTGCCCTGAAGGAAGCACTGTTTGGCATTAGGACAGTAAATATTCTCGTATGTTCATGATCTTATTTCATCCAATGCCGTGTTCTCAGCACTGGATGAAATGCCTGGATAAAAGAGCTTCAGTGAGCAAACAGCACCAGGCAGCCTCTCTTGCTTTTTCCCCTCTAAACTGCTACCCCAAAGGCTATTTTTATGCATTTTGAACTCTGAAAATGCAACCATTGCTCCATTCTGAGAATGCTTAGATTTAGGAGAAACAGGGTAGCTTTTCCTGTAGTCACAATGAAAAAAATATTACTATGCTTGTATAGTACTTGTGTGATTTAAGTAACATTGATTAATAATTTTGCTGATCCTAAAAGTAACAAATACTTTCTTTTATATCATTGTGTGAGAACAGTAGGCAAATGACCTTCCAAGTATGGTAGTACATTTTTAATGGGTAGTATCAAAACCCAGTTTTCATCATGAAATTACTGATCTTTCGCCCATGAATTTCCAGGATCCCCACTTCAAACACTATGGTGTAGCTAACAAGTGTTCAAGGCCCAGACCCCAACGTACTCAATTACACTTTAATTTCACAAATAGTAGTTCCATGATGCCACCATATTTCAGCATGCAAGTGATTAGAAATCTAGTCCTACAATCCAGTTCAGCCCAAGCCAGAAAACACCACATAATTAGCCATTTCAGTATAATATACACTTTTCAATAACAAATACATTTTAGAAGATGGCATTTTTAAACCTTTCTGGGCTATCTTAAAAACCATATCAGAAGCATAGTTCAAGCCACAGCTAGATGGATGGACAGAAATTGTTTTACATTTATTTTTTGCTAAGAACACAGAAGAAGCTGTATAGCTGTAAATGTCATACTTTGTGTCATGCTTCACTTGGACAAACCATTGACTGTATGCCAGGCTACGTACATCCTAGTCCCTTCAATCAGCATTTTAATAAGTAATTAGGCACAGATTGTCCTTTTAGCAGAGACTGTTTTTAGTTTTGTTGGCCCTGCATTTTATATTTGAAAGTGTCATACTGGGTTCCCTGTTCCACTGCGGGGTGGTGTCCTTATATTTAAAACAATATAGTATCTCTTGAACATTTCAAATCTCAATTCATAGATTTTTCAACACTTCCTGCAGCTCTCATTTGTTTGGTTTTTGTTTGGGGTTTTTTTTTTTCCTCCCCCACTGTTTGTATTTCACACATAGAAACCCAAACTGTGAAGAGGACCATTTGTGACAGATACTATACGAACACAGAAGAAGATCTGCAAGTTCTCAGGAGTGGAGACTGTCTAAATAGGCAAAAACAAAGGCAACAACTTTCTAAAGGTCACATGGCAGACCAACAGCAGAGATGTAACACCAAGTCCTCTGTTTCCTAGTCCAGAAGTCATCTACTAAACAAAGGAAAGGGTTTTTTTTAGTTAAGGAAACCCAAGGAAAACTCATACTGCTACAACAGAAGGGAACAATATTTCCTCCTTAGCAGTACAGTTACAGAGAAAGTATCTGAATGGCTCCTCAAGTTGTTAACAGGAGTAGGTGACAGACTGAGAATGAAGTATTAAAGCTTTCTAAGGTTAGAACACCACACTGCATAGAACCCACAGTTGGCTTTGAAAAAAGCAACACATTAGTCAAAGACTACATTCAACTCATTCAAATTCAATGGCTATTTGCGGTCCAGGGATTGCACAAGCATAGAACTCCAATACTGCATCTCCACAGGATGTAAGACAACGTAGTATAAGAGAATAATATCTTATTACATTCTTTGTATGAAGCAAGTGAAAGCATATTTTGTGGCAGAAGCATTACCGGGGGCTCAAACTTAGTACATCAATGCTTACCATGATTCTATTCTTGGTTAAGTAATTGTCCGCATTCCCAGGAGACCTTCTTGTGCACTGTATTCCCTTTACAACAGTAGCATACTTTTAAACCATTTCTTAATATGATGATTTCCATTTCTTATATGATTATTTAAAAAAAAAAAATCAATCTGCTGGTCAAAATATAGATGTAACTAATTTTGTAGAACTGATACCAGAACGTAAATACATTCAGTAGTCTGAAAACTAAATCTACACACTGAAATACATATATCTTCAGCAATATTGACACTATGGCTTTAGTGAAGAGAGCTGTCTGTTAAAAGCTGTCACGTTACATGCAGAGAAATACACAAAAATAACTAATGTTACAAAGCCTACTGCTCAAAGGTTGAGATATCAGGATAGGGGTTTGCCTGTGCAACCTTAAAACAAACCTGATTTTCCCTCTGACATAGGCTTTGTGTGATCTCATGTCTTTCATGTTTTTTGTATTTAGTTTAAACCACAAAAGCATGGTGTTCAATGTGGTACTACCCAGTATTCTTCCCTTTAAGATGTACCCTTTGAATTATTGTCCAGTTGGCACCCAGACCTCGGACAGAGAATTACCATTTTTTCCTGGATTTAGCCATGGTACTGATAATCTAGATAAGCTGAATCTGCAAGGAGTATCTTAGATACGTCAGAGGACAAAGCTAAAAGAACACTTACAAGTGATGCTGAGCCTAAGGCAGAGAAATGCTTCCAGGCATTTATCATTCTGTCTGGAGCTACATGCTTCTTTTACTAGCTACAGTCAACAGCAATTAGCAGGGTTCTGAAAACATTAGAAAATACATGCTTCAAGTGAGTGACCAGAGGAGTGAAAAGCAATCAGGAGCTATCAACCTGTTAGAGCTCTGGGAGTCTGTGAATCAGTGCTGAAAGCCTCTGCCACAAGGACTCATGAGTGTGAAGTGTGAACAAAGTCTTTATCCAGAAAATATGACAAAGTAGCCTAAAATAATGAGTTCAGTAGGAAGGCCAAATCAAGGGAAGCCTAACATCACCTGATCCTCATGGCAGGACCCAAACAGCAGGCTCTGGCTCACATACTGGGTTCATTCTTCCAGGGTAAAGTTCTTCACAGATGGATACAGCAACATTTTAGTGGGATGAAATAACTGATAGAATGAATTCTCTATGGGCCTGAAGACCACGGCAAACTTCATCTTTCATGGTACACATCGCACTTCTTTGTAAAGATCAGTAGACAGTGATAGGTATGTTATTAAAAATTAATGCAAACATATTCTTAGTGAACACTTGTGACTTTGCTCACACAAAAGAACTTCAAACAGCAAAAACAGTTCCTCAGTGTAGCATTCAAATGCATTAACCTCCCTTTTCTTGTTGAAGTGCCCTGCTTTAATCATTGCATTCCTCTAAATGTCAAACAAAACACACAACAATTATTCCACTTTCCTTATTCATCTTCAGAACACAGTCCAACCCGTGCATTGAATCAATCAAGTTTTCTATTGAGAAAATAAGACTCCCCTCCACAGTCACAATTTTCTATAAAATTCAAGCCCTTATTAGAAGGTATGAAGGTACTTGAGTTACCAGTGGAAAAAACTTTAAAGAAGTTTTTCTTCAGTACAAGAAAAATTAAGATTTCCTCAGGAATGAGTGGAACACTGCCACTGAAATTTCCTGAGTCAAGGTTTTCCTGAAGGACACCTTAAGAGGTTCCTTAGAGATTGACATTGGGTAGATATCCAAGCCAAGTAGTTAAAGTTTTTCGAACTAATAGTGGAAGATGAAAGAGGATCTTGCCATAGAAAATATCAAGTAGTACTGAGTTCACATGGCCATCTCTACTTACAGCAACAGAAACACTTTTTAATATGGAATTGCAATTCAAAATAGGCATTAGCTTACCTGACCAGAAAGCGATGTAGCCCAACGTCAAAACTTCTGCAAAAAAAAAAGATTCACCATATTTTAATTATTTTAAAAAATACTACTCTGTTGGGTATTGTACAAACACTATTTCAAAACAATCAATAATACCAAAGATAAATATAAAATTACTGGAATTGATAAAACAGAAGCAAAAGTGTAATATACAATTTCCTTTCTGTAATGACGTGAAAATTAAGATGATCATCATATGGACAGATTTAGATGCATATTAAAAAGCTCACAAATTCCTTGGTTGAGTATTTCTTCAATAAAGCAGTAACATTCATAGTAGTATAACCCACAAAGCATAAATTGTGTATATTCTGCTACTGGAAATATTTTTTTAATATTCCTGATGACCAGTGAGTCTGCATATTTCCTGTCATATGCAGGTAGATCCTCTACGCAAAACTACTGTGGAATCCTTTCTTTCCCCTCTTCTGCTCTGTACTGCACTAAAATGCAAGTGATTGCTGTGAATTCTCTCCATGATACAGAATAATCAAAGAACCCCCTTATGTCTCCTTCAGATACACAGAATATACCGAGAAGCGAGCCTTGCAAGAGTGTTCCGCTTAGATCTGGTAAGGAAAATAACTTTGAGGACTTTTGACAGTAAGTACAAGTTAGATCACACTAAATTACAGGAACCATGCCTGCAAACTTCAGCACTAACAACATACACTGGCAGTTAGCGCCAGTGTTTCTTTCCCTTTTCTGTTTCCTCCATCCCTCAGCCAGCTCAGGAGAATCAAGTTCATCAACAATGTACTAGCAAATCTTTGACACTACAGGAAGGTATCTGCTGATTTGAGACATTTACCTACTATCTGAAGTAAGTGCCGGTTTTATGGGACCGTCAATGTAATCCCAGATTAGCTGTGTGCATAATGGCACAACTGGAAAATGCAAATGTCTTATTTCCAGTGCTGGACTTGCTCTGAAATGGGCTTACATTCTGTACACAGAAAACATTTTGGCATATACTAAGCTCTTGAGCATCCTGTTCCAAAAAAGCCTAACTGATCATTTGAGTACAACATGGTTTTATTTTAACAGTATTGCTTGCAGTGTGCTGCCTTCTACCTGAAACTGCCAGAGAAGTTATCAGATAGTTAATGGCATCCTGATAACAGGAGATAGATAGAGCTGTAGAAATTCTAGGAGTTAACAGGGAGGGAAAGTCCACTGGTTCAGCAGGGCAGAGAGGAGGGGAACAAATTTCTCACTTAAAAGCTGCCTTGCAACAGAAAAAAAAAATATTCTGCTAGGAACATGCACATGGTCATTATTAAACCTGTATTTTCACATTCCTTTCCTAAAATAATTTCCCATTTTACATTATTGTTGTACTACTGTGTAATTATACCGCATGAAGTGTATCCAGTTATCTTTCTGCATTCTTCCTGCCTGGACACATACTGTAATTTGGCTACCCCTCTTCACTAAAATATTCTGTATTGTACAGACAGTCTTCTGTATCAGAGCTGCCCACAGTCTGTATTTATATCTCTGAAAAACTTTTCTTCCTAGGACCAAGCACTTCAGCATGTTTCTGCTGGGATGGGGAGAAGAAGAAACTTGTACAGTTCCAGGGAACAGCTGTATGCTGAACAGCCATCTTACACATCTTCAGTCAAGCTCATCTTTTCAAGTTCTCCTAGCTATTCTCTGATGGCAATGACCAAGTCTGCTGTCGTCTCTGAAGGGACACAATAACTGAGCTTCTTGTGGACAGGGATGTAGAGCATAAAAAAAATTCACTGCTTTTGACACTGAACCAAAAGCCAGAAGGACTTGGCCTACAATGAGCATAGAAACTGAATGGTCCTGCTAACTTGAGATGATCAGAGCTGAAGGAGGTTGGGGTGGACAAAGCTGAGGCAGAGTGGGTTCAGACAGGGAGGGAAAATGAGACAGTTTGCTGTGGACTTACATGCCATCTTTTCGCTCATTTTTCACTCTTTCCAAAACATAGTGATAAATCTTTTTTAATAGCAAAGTGCATTATTTCATATGGGCTTTAGCTATTAAAATATTTCCACAAAATATTCAGTATTGAAAATGAACATGCATAGAAACAATTTATTAGAATAAATGAAAAGGGGAAAAAAGATCAGGGCCTCACTAGGTATAACTCAGCGTAGACAGACAGGCCCCATTATTCCTCAGTTCGATGCTGTACTGATACATTTCAACTGACTAAGATCTTGAGCTCTCAACAGTGTAAGCAGTCATTTAAAGATGTAACACTACACTATGACCAACACAATTATGAGGATATACAGTAGCATCAGAGTGTGCACCTAGATCTTAAAGACACCTCAGGACAGTATCATTGATTAGTTCCAAAAGCAAGAACAACAAGGCCGAACAATTTCAAACTGTAAATGGGAGAAATAGTTGCATTACTTAAGGCTATGGATATTGGGTACATACACTTTTAAGCACCTAGGATAATGAATAGACATGTTGTGCAAGGCAAAAATACTGCAAAGCTAGGATTATGGGAGGCTGGTTTTGACAAAACACTACCACAAACACTTTCAACCATTCTGCTTGTTCATATTTAAATACATACTGCATTTAAGTCAACAAGTGAAATGGAAATACAGTGAAGTAGCAATGGAAACAGATCTGGTAGATGTAATTAATCCCTCCAATCTCAGATGGAAAAGTTAACAAGGGGTAAAGAGGCTTTATATAGCAGTGTTCAGACTGCAACTTGGGGGTGGAATAAGCAACTTCATTAAATGAAAAAAGAACAAGTAATCACACTGCATTTGTATTAAAAATTTCATAGTGATCCCTTCAACATCACAACTGTCAGGCATGACAGGGTGCTCCCCACAATCAACTCAATTACACCCGCCATATATACACGGACATGATTATCTACTGCCTATAAAGTACACCCATATTTACTTGATATTGCAACATAACTTATAATCAACTTCATACAGCTTGTTCAATCCTGAGCTTCTCCACAAAATACAGGATTTATCTGGTAGCCCTTGCAATTTAGGGTGCCTCAGTTACATAAAGTTTCACAAAAGCTTTTTGAAATCCTATAACAAGCATAATTTTCTAAAATAAAGGTTTTAATTAAAACCTAAAATAACAAGGGAAAGGATATCCATAGCAATACAAGTAAAAAGTGATTTGCCAGTTAAATTCTCTATACTGCTCAAATGTCAGTAGCAATATAACATTTTAATTTTTTGAGAAATAATGGGTAAAGTCTAGTTTATCAAAATAGTAATGGTAGTCTTTGAATAGGGCAAAATCTTGACTAGTCAGTGGAACAATAAAGGGGAGATATACGTAACCTCCATTTCATAATCAAGTTACTCATTGCAGACAATTTGATAGCTATTTTCTTTATAAAAATGTCTCTAATTCTGTTCCTCTGAAGGGCAGTTTTGAATCACAGTTCTGTACGCAACTTTAATGCTTTGTTAAGCATGGAAGTTTAGTTTCCGATACATTTCAACAAAAGATTATACATATAATCCTTCCTAATCAAATTCATCTTTTCCCAGTACATCAGCTAGAAATCAGTGATCAACAATATACATATACTAAACCAACAAGGACCTTTTCCAAAATACAATCTTCCAAAACACAACCTTTGAAATATCTGCCTGCAAGCATACATCTCTCTCCTCAAGGTACATTTTCAAAACTATTTCACAGACGTGCAGTTTCTGCTTTGAAAGCTAAATGCATAATGCAACAAGCTGCCTCCAAATTTGCATTCAGCACAAAGCTGATTGGGGGGGGGGCGCGCACAGGGGGGAGGGGAAAAAAAAGTCTTCTTATATAGAAAAGGTATGAAAAGGGAGAAACATGCTGGTGTGAACCACAGTCAATAGCAATAGCACATGCATTGAAATTGTAATCCTGATGATTCACCAAAAAAAAAGTACAAAACCCCTCTTTTTGTCCCCAGGATGCAAAAAGGCATATATACATATCTGAAAGCCAGATGAGCAAAACTGCTACAAGTTTCTGTTCATGCTGCGATTACGGTATCAGAGAAGCCAGTCATCTGTTTCCACCTTGTGTCATGGGTACTTTGGACTCACTCTGAGATTTCCATCTGTCCAATTTCCTTATAGTTGGACCTTATTTTGAAATCCTGTGCCCACCACTTGCCACTGAAGAGTGCTGTGCTGCATGGTTCTTCAGCTGTATCTGCCTATTGCAGGCTGGTGCATACCGATATAAATCAGGACCAAAAACGGGTCAGGACCTTCTCCCGGGAGCTGGTTCATGCTTTCATGGCCACATGCCCTGAGCTCAGCACAGGTCAGCAGACAGGGTGGCTCCCAGTGGAGCTACAGATTGACATGCAGTGACAGACTCTTGTTTCCTGAGCTTCACCGTCCAAATGTCCACCCTGGTCAGCACTCTTCATAAGCCTATGTTATCCAATGGATTGTTTATGGTCCCACTTTCCACAAACTGCGGTCTAAACTCTGGTTCCTCAGCAGAGGAGTTGTGTGAGCCTTTAGTATACAACTTTCAAATTCAATGAAGTTATGCCAGCCTATGTTATTTAAGGATGTTGTGGTTTAACCTGGCAAGCAGCTGAACACCACACAGCCATTCGCCCACTCCCCCCCAGCCGTGGGATGGAGGAGAGAATCAGGAAAAAAAAGTAAAGTTTGTGTGTTGAGATAAAGAAAGTTTAATAGGACAGAAAAGGAAGGGAAAATAATATTAATGATGATAAAAGAATATACAAAATAAGTCGTGCACAATGCAGTTGCTCACCACCCACCGACTAATGCCCAGCCAGTTCCCGAGCAGCGGTCACCGCCCCCCAGCTAACTCCCCCCAGTTTATGTACTGAGCATGACGTCACATGGTATGGAATGTCCCTTTGGCCAGTTGGGGTCAGCTGTCCTGGCTGTGCCCCCTCCCAGCTTCTTGTGCACCTCCAGCCTTCTCAGTCGGCAGGGCATGGGAAGCTGAGAAGTCCTTGCCTAGTGTAAGCACTACTTAGC